AAACCATTTCTTTACAATTTCGCTGTAATTTTGATCAGTTAGCCTGGGTTCAAACTGGCGAGCAGCAGCTGAAAGACACAAAAGAACGTCATTAAGATAGACGGTATCTCACATACAATTTCTTATTATCCCCTACCCTCACTCCTTTTAGTGACTTCTGTGTTTTTGTGTCAACATATCAGACACAAATAGTCAGTCATAACATTTACAGACAAGTAAGAAGATGTACAGGACAGAATCACAACCCAATGTTGTCAACACATAGTGCTTAAATTATAACCCTCACAAAAAATAAAAGTTGTTTCACCCGGAGCCAAAGGAGGAGAGGAGGAGAGTAGAAAGGGGGAGGGAGGTTGAGGGGTAGACAGGCCAGGTGAGGGGTGAGGGGTGAAGGGAAAGGGGTGTGTGTGTCTTTGGCAGGTGGAGGGAGAGGGGTCGGGGGTTTGAATGGGAGAGGGAAGTGGAGGGGTGTGAAAAACAGCTGACATTGATTGAACATTTAGATTACTAGTTCTTCCCCAAACCTAGTCCTCAATCAAACTGACCTGCGTGTTTTCAGTTCAGCAAAACCCTGTTAATCAGACGTCAATTAATATCACATGTGCTGAATTAGGGAAATGCCTAAAACTTGTAGGGACTGGAGGACCAGTGCTGAAACACACTGGATTCGACGTTGGCATTTCATTTATTTGATGTCAACCACAAAACAACATTGATTCAATGACACAGTTTCAACGTTAGTTAATTGGCTAGAATTGAATGGTTGTTTTATAGTTGATCCACCATCAGTTGTCGAACCAAACATGCAACCTTTGTGATGATAATTCAACATTGAATTAACATATTTTCCAACAAGACAACAGCGAAGCAGCTGTGTGTTTGGGACATCCCATTCATGTAAATGGTGGGGGTGGACCCCTCCACTCCTTGTAGTAAGTTGTAGATGTTTGTGTGTCAATATATCACACACACGCAGTCAGTGAGAATTGTTATGAACAAGTAAGAAAATGTACAGAAAGGAATCTTCACCCACTATCCTCTACAGTGCTTAATTTAAATGTGATAACCCCCACTCAGTAATAAAATGCTCTGACCCAGAGCGCTGCTGAGGAGGAGAGGAGGGGAAGGGGTGCGGCAATACAGCTGACATTGATTCAATATTGATCAGATGTTGATCAGACATCAGCATTTGAGTCATTAGATTTCAACCACAAAACAACATTGATTCAATGACACAGTTTCAACACTGGTTACTTGGCTAGAGGTGGATGGTTGTTTGATGGTTGATCCACCGTCATTTGTCGTCTTCAACCAAAAATCAACCATTAATCAGACTTCGGCATTTCAGACATCAGATTTCAACCACAGAACAACATTGATTCAATGACACAGTTTCAACGGTTTGATTGGATGGTTGTTTGATGGTTGATCCACTGTCATTTGTTGACTTCAACCAAAAATCAACGATTCTAACTATATTTCAACGTTGATTTAACATTGTGTGCTATCTGGGTTGAGAACGCCATTCGTAACTGAGACAAGACTTCTACAAATAAAAGGCTAAGGCTTATTGGAAGACGTTCATTGGGGAGTAAACTCCTAACGTTGACGTCTAGTCCCAATATTTTTTTTGCTTTGGACAATTTGGTTTGCTTGACTCTTAGGGCATCTTATGAGTGTGGCAGATGTGTCAGATCTTCATTGTTTTGTCATTTTACAGGATTGTTTCAGATATAGATGCCCATCCAGACTTAAAATTCTGACCAGTAGTCATGTTTTATTGTGTTTATGTGAAACTTAAACATAATAAAGATGCTAAAAGTAATTGAACTCATGTCTTCATTTCAGCAAGCCAATAACATTCCATTGACAGGATCAATTTTTGGATTTTTGCTTTAGCATAAGAACATTGAGTAAAACAATGACAAGATATATATTTTAATCCTATGCAATAATAAAAGTAAACTAGTTTTAGGTATACATATATGCTGGTTTCAAGAAATTCAATATCAAGTAACATTTTCTTTACTTGAGAATATTTTTCTTAAAATAAGATAATATATCTTACTTGTATAAGTAAAATTGGCTTGTTTTAAGTGAAAATACACTAATTTTAAGATATTTGTAGGTTCATTTGGTTAGATATTTTTTCTTGTTTTGGAAAATCTTGACAAGATAAATTTTCTTGTTCTGTTGGCAGATAATCTTTGTTATTTTAAGAAAATTATACCCTATTTTTGTACTTTTTCCTTTCTTGTTTTTGAAAGGGGACTTTTTGCAGTGTGTGTGTGTGTGTGTGTGTGTGTGTGTGTGTGTGTGTGCGCGCGTGCGTGTGTGCGTTTGTTTGTAATACCTTGTGGGGACGATTTTCCTGACATATACTACGTTGTGGGACAAATTGCTCCTTGGAGCCTGGAGCCTGGTCCCCACAAGGGGAAACCCTGTTTTTGGGTCAGGGGTCAGAGTTAGGGCTAAGGTATGAATTGAGTTTTGGTTAGGGTTAGGGTTAGGTATGGGATGGGTGGGGTTAGGAAAAGGGTAAAGATAAGGTTTAGGCTGTAGAAATGAATGGAAGTCAATGGAAAGTCCCCACAAAGATAGCAACACAAGTGTGTATGTGTGTGTGTGTGTGTGTGTGTGTGTGTGTGGTTGGCTGCAGCCAGGTCTCCTGGCTTCAGGAAGATGTCCCATCTTCCCAATCCATGCAAGACTCACAGAATATTGTGGTCTTGTCTCTTGGAGATGTAGAAGAAGTTCTTTTTCTGATTCCTCACCCAGAAACCAACATGGGAGACTTAAGTCCCAGACAACAGAATCCCCAAGTGGGAGTTGAGCATTGTTGTTCTAAAAATATATATTTTTCTTATTTTTAGATTGCTCATTCAATATTGTTCGATCAAACAATGTATTTATAGTAGAAAGAGAACAAATGTATCCATTTTTGCTTCATCTTTGCTTAATAAATAACAACATGGTGAACAGTGTTTGTTTTACCTTTTGAAGTTATATTTGAATGAGTTTAGAACATGTAAAAAGGACAGATCCTTCATGTGGAAGCGATGTCTGAATGTCCCTATTGTCCTGGTTCTTATGTCTCTTCATCCAGGAACCAGTCTGCTGCAGGAAGTTGTGTTTCTAGTGAGTCAGGGAGCAGATCCTGATGAGATTGGCCTTATGAACATCGATGAGCAGCTACCTGTCATAGAATACCCCCAGCCTGGACTGGATGTCATACAGGTACAACTAACATCTGATCAGCATTCAATAAGAACCTTTTTAATGTTACAATATGCTTAGATCAATCTCTGTTGGATTTCATGTGAGGGAACTTGTTACCTAGAGCTGCAAGGATGGTAGAAAGCCTGCAACACTCGGCATCCAGGAATCAGTAAAGGACGAGTAGAAGCAGCACCAGAACCCACAGCAGACATGAGGCATCACCAGAGCAGCCATATGAGGCACAGAGGCAGGGCATCAGTGAAGCTCATGAGCAGTGGTCTGCAGGACAAAGAGGCTCAGGACGAGACATAGGGCATAAATCCAGAATTCTTAACCTAAATAAGGTCTGCTCTCCAGATCTTATTTAGGTCTGGAGAGCCTAAATAAGGTCTGGAGACCTTATTTAGGCTCCTGATAGGAGCAGACAAGCTCCTATCAGGACCCCTGCAGTTTGCTTATCACCATGGAGTTGGAGTTCAAGATGCCATCATACACCTGCTTCAACAAACCATCAAACCCACTGTCACCTGGTCAAAGCATGCAGCACTGTGAGGATCATGTTCTTTGATTTCTCCAGGGAATTTAACACAATTCACTCCAATCTGCTTTGTCAGAAACTCCAGAAGACACAAGTGGAGGCCTCAACAATTGTCTGGATCTATGACTACCTGACAGACAGACCACAGTTTGAGAGACTGTGTCTAACCAGGTGGTCAGTAGCACAGGAGCACCACCATTCTGCACTCTGCACTCACCATTCTGTACACTTCAGACTTCTGTCATCTATAGAAATACTCTGATAAATCTGCAGTTGTCAGGTGAAGCAGAGATGGCTCATGTTCGTGCGTCATGTTCATCACCACCAACATCATCCTGACTGAGACAAAGAAATAAGAACCGCTTTAACAGAAAAATCTGCGACTGTTTGCCAGTTTTCTTGAATCTTGAGGCCTTAGCTGCTGCTGGATGGATTGTGTGCCTTTTTTAACCAAACTGCACTGCAAAACCTTACCAAGTATTTCTGTCTGACCACTTTGTGTCATGGTGGGAGAACAATCATCTCATCTTGAATGTAAACAAAACAAGAGATGGTTGTAGAATTCAGAAGAAACAGTGTTCGATCAAACCCTGTTTCCATCATGGGAGAAGAAGTGGAGATGGTTGAGGAATTTAAATACCTCAGTGTTCATCTGACAACAGATTGGATTGGAGACACAACAGTGAAGCAACCTCACCATTTTCTTTATGAGACTATCTTGGAAAAACACAGTGTCTTCAGTCAGAGGTTTCTTCAGATTCATTGCAATACAGTCTGCTACAGGAGATCTTTCCTGCCAACAGCCATCACAATCTACTATAACTCTTTGAAGAATTTGAATTAATATGAGTAGCAACAGTCCGTTGCAGGGCAACACAGACNCACTGGACAAACAACCACACACTCACACCTAGGGACACACTCACACCTAGGGACAATTTAGAGAAACCAATTAACCTGACAGTCATGTTTTTGGACTGTGGGAGGAAGCTGGAGTATCCAGAGAGAACCCACACATGCACAAGGAGAATATGCAAACGCCATGCAGAAAGACCCCAGGCTGACAATTGAACCCAGTACCTTCTTGTTGCAAGGCAACAGCTCTACCAACTGCGCCACTGTGCAGCCTACTTAATGTGATATTTAAAAAAACAACAAAAACATGGCATGTTAAGTAGTCTGTATTGTATGTAGCAGTTTCTAAATTTCTACCATTCCTGGATTGAAGCTGGAGGGCCAAAAAATAATTCCAAGGGCCTGTATTGGCTCTGGGAACCTATATTAGGCACCCCACATTAACCAACAAAACTTTGCAAGATTTCTCAAGATGTTTTAATCCTTGATTCTAGATTGCTGAGGTGATTGCCTCTGTTCTTCTACAGGAGCTGACCTCCCCTCGCTTGATAAAAAGCCATCTTCCCTATCGATTTCTCCCTACAGCTATGCACAATGGAGAGGCCAAGGTCAGTGCATGTCAGGCCATGTGTAATTCGGTATCTCAAATATGTTAGTTGAATAATTTGGTATTCTGCTATCATCAGAATATGCCTTGAGTTTATGAGATGTTAGAGTATGACTCTGCCTTAGGACTTTGATCTTCCAATGGATATTGGATCTTGTACTTTCTCCCATTAATGTAACTTGGCCAGCTGTATTATCCTACAGAGGTTTAGTTTAATGCACTGTAAAAACTGATAAATTAGTCCAACTCAAACAATTTGAGAAAACCAATTGCCTTAAACAGTTTAGGTTTATTAACCTAAACAATTCATCTTAAGTGGGGAGTTAGACTAACTACCTGAAGTTAAAAATAACATTTGCAAACTGTTAATTTATTGCACGTCAGCTACTGTTCACATTGTGCTTTTACTATTTAACCAGGTTGACATGAACCAGAGCGCTGTTTGACAAAGGATTAAGAAATCCAGGATAAAAGACAAAGCCAGGCTTCACATCGCATCAGTTCATCCTGACTATCAGTTTCATAAAAACCAAACTAGGCTGAGGAAGTGCAGCTATGTGGAGCCAGGCTGAAGTAATTCAGATGAATGCGCATCCACAGATTTCTCCAACAGACCAATGAAATCGATCACAGATTCACTGATGCTACGCTGATGCTAAATTAACTGCTTATGTCATACCTTACACCAAACAGCTTTAGATGGAGGATTATGAGGAACTGAAGTATCATACTAAAGAAAGGAATGCTGCTACAATAGCAAACAGTGGATCAACTAAATGCGTAATTAGACCAAAATCCAAAATCTATATTTCCAAACTCAACTAAAAAACATCAGTCATATCTGTCATTTACTCATTACTTCAAGTAGATATATCATGCTTTTGCATCCTTCCTATATTCTGTAGAATTTGAATTAATATTAGTTACCACAACATTTAATTTCCCTTTTGGATCAATATTTTTAAGTTGAATTTTCACATATGAATCATTCTCTTATGATCTATATAAAGTAGGACCATAACACTGCAATATGATTGCAATGCTTTGGTCTGAATTCCTCCTTATTGGAGCTGCAAACTCCTCATTTACCTGTTCTGAGGAGTTTTAGAGGAACTGCGGTCTTTTTAAAACATGAATGAGATATTCCACGCCCCGGCCTCTCCAGGGTGAAGGACGTCCCACCCCATTTGGCTATTTTTATAGTTTGATAACAGCGATACAATTATCTACCGGCAGAAAAGCTTTTTATTCAAAATTTTATTAAAGATGTGAACGAAAGACTTGTCTATCCAACCTTCCATGTTGGAGTCAGAGTATGATCCAGAGCAGGACAATGAAGACGACCAACCTGCAGAACCGTTTATTCAATTGAATTCATCACAGTGGAGTTATTACTGTATTTACACCCTCTCCATCCATACCAGCTACCCACAATATGGAGTGTAATTTAACTATAGTGTTCATGCATATCAGATACCTATTAAATATTAATGCGACCACAATTTGAATGAAGTAAACAAAACCTTGACATAATTAAGAAGTTAGATAATGGGAGCATCAAGAACATCACTGGATGCATTTGCACATGTTCCCCAAGACAAAAATGGCAAAAACAAAGCCAAATACTTACAATAAAAATTAAAGCTGCAAGCAGCCTCAAAACTATTGATACGAAACATATGAGACCCATATGCACATTACACCTCCTCCTCGTGGAACTATTGGCCACCGCGGGGATTCTGGCATCGCCGCCCACTCGCCACCGCAGACGTTATTGCGCAGTTTCCCTACCCATCCGCCAGGCAATACGCATCAACGCGTTCTGCAGCACTCCTTAATGATGCACCCAAAATCTGGTGCAGATCGGCTGATGTAGAGAGGAGATATAGCTGACGGTCAAAAGCAGTAGGACGAGTTTGATCAAATACTACGTCAATAAAATGGACATGATGGCGGCTTTGATCTAAAATGGCCAACTTCCTTTTGGGTTTGGACCATGGCTTCCAGAGACTTTTTTGCAGGTCCTGACAAGATACACATGTGTCACAAGTTTCATAATTCTGGGTTAAACCGTGGCTTGGGGCTGATGATTTAAAAATTTCTAGGGGGCACTGTTGAGAAATTAGGCCACGCCCACTAAAGATTGTTATGGATTCCTGTCCGGGGGTGGATAAGGATTGATCCCTGTGAGTTTGGTGCAGCTCGTCTTGAAATTATGGAATTCAGAGCCAAACGTATGGCAACGGCGTTACATGTCACTTCGCCACACCGCCACACCCACCTGCTCCATCAAAACCGGTTGGGGTTGGAATCCACAACACACCAACATGTCTTCTGTCTATGGACACAGTTTCATGTTAATTAGGTCAAACAGGTCAGATAGCAACCGTTCACAGTAAAAAATGACACTTCCTGTTCTCAGGGGTCATGGCTTAAATAATGTCATCACTTGACCATTGAGTGTTAATGCCGGCGGCCACTTCAAGGCTGCCGGGTAAGGTTGATGGGATCTGCAGAGCGATCAACACTCAAACTGAGATGATACGGGAGCTGAACCGTAGACTGGGTGCGATCCTGGAACAGGACCGTGGCCGGGCAACGGATCTCAGACTCAGAATGGATATGGTGTGACCTTGGAGAATGTTGTTCGCTCAGATCAGGCGGGTGAACCTAAATTTGGCTGCTTGGATTTGTCATTGAGAAGCACCAGTGAGACTTTCAAGGAAGGCAGTAAACTGATGTCAGCCTGACCTAAATAAATTTTTGCTATCGGAATCTGGCTCCCCGGGCTGGCCTTGGCTGGCTAGCTATCCTCCCCTGGTTGTTATGTCTAAAGAAGGCTCTGTTCTGCTGCCCCCCTCCCTCCCTGAGAAGACTCGCAGACAATCACAGATAATTGCGTGCTTCAGTTAGGGTTCATGGTCTGACATACATAACTCACATGATACCCATATGCCCATATGCACTTCACACCTCCTCCTGGTACCCGTCTTGTTTTGTCTATACAGGTCCTTCTCAAAAAATTAGCATATTGTGATAAAGTTCATTATTTTCCACAATGTAATGATAAAAATTCAACTGTCATATATTTTAGATTCATTGCACACCAACTGAAATATTTCTGGTCATTTTTTGTTTTAATACTGATGATTTTGGCATACAGCTCATGTAAACCCAAAATCCCTGTCTCAAAAAATTAGCATATCATGGAAAGGTTCTCTGAACGAGCAATTAACCTAATCATCTGAATCAACAAAGTAAC